AAACTACCATGTTACAACAATTTTTATCTTGAGTCGTATCATATTTGAGGGTTTTGCCTTCTTTTTTTTTTTTTTTGGAAGAAAGCTCCGCTCTTGGGGCCACATGATTAGCGTATCTAAAAGATAACGTTAGCTTTTAGTCCTTACGTTTGTAGGAAAAAATGCAATATACGGCTTAAGGATTTGCTAACCGGACGGTGAACAAAAGGGCATCCCCAACACATGCACTGGGGAAGTCGTGGAAGCTGCCCTTATTTTTAAGACGGCGGCAGAGCTGCGCGGTACCCGAGTCAAGCATTTTGAATGTTCTTTGCAGAAAACTTGCCCAAATGCTTTGATCACCAGAAGTCTTCTTTAAAACTGGGACATTGTCGGTGGTGCTTTGAAAGCCATGGAAAGGGCTCAGCGCTCTGGAGGGAGCCTGTTCCCAGCAGAAGGTGGTGCCAGGTCCAGCCCAGGTCCCAGGCTTCGGTCCCAGTGCCTGCTACCTGCCCAGTCCCACCTGGTGGTGTACTGCTTGGGTGCAAGCATGACATTCAAACCAGCCTTGGACATACTGGGAGAGAGAACCTGACCCTGGGCTACCTCTTACCATCACTGGCAGTCCCTGTACGCCTAGCCGGCCTGCAGCTCCAGGGTCTCCTGTGGCGAGGACAGATGGATCTGAGGGTGGTCCAAGCTCAGAGGCCCCTCTGAGCATGGCGGTGCGCTCTGCCGAGCTGCAAGCAGCCTGCGGCCAGCAGCAAGGGCACACAGGGCTGGTGGAGGCAGGGTCTTCGCTCCGCAGAGCAGCGGGGAGGTGACCCGTACCAGCCATGGAAGTCAGAAATCATATGATTTGGCACACGCATATTATTGTGTGGTGTTTACATAATATATGCACGCGACATTCGTATTTGAGAATGCATAATTTTGACAGACACAAATCATTAAACAAAGCCCAAACTCTTGAAAGCCCTTATATTCTTCCCCTTAATCTCTTTGATGCATAGTAATTGCAGGACATTAACTATAACAATAATAATGCCATATTTTGCAGACCAAGGAGGCATTTTTAAAATTGATGGTTTCCTTTTAACCTCTCCTTCAGTCTGCAAAATGGAGATTACCTGGATTTGCCCCACCAGGCCGTTGGTAGGATTAATCTTTGTACAATGTCTTATAGAGGGGAAGCGCTGCGTGACTATTAATGCCTCCGAACTGCTGCAATGAGGCAATTAGTAGCTGTGCAAAAGAGATTCTCATGGGGCTTTATTCCCTCTTTATCTTTTAAAAACAGTTTCAAAAAATTAGAAAAGCCATGAAAAACAGTATTGCTACACCAGCTTCCCCAGGCTGCCTGACCGTGTGCTTGCAGGAGGGCTACGCCGGCAGTGCTGGCTGCTGCCAGACCCACACCTGTAGCCTGTCCACCACGAGGGTTGTGTCTCAGTCCGTGCTCCATCTGCATCCACATCCCATGATTACAGGTTAAG